CAGGAACCCTCCCCCAACCTCCAGCATTCTGAACCTGGTTCTTCATTTCTGGAGACGCAATTTCAGTTCTGCCCCGGGGAGGGCTCTTTTCAGGGTACCAGCTGCCAATTAGCACCTTTCCTAACGGACCTGGAACATCTGAGTATGGGGTTCAGGGACCCTTGCCAGAGAAGCTGAAATGCCTGGGCAGGCAGAAGGCCTGGTACCAAAAGCAACTGTGGAGATCCACCGTGCCCCGGCGCCCATCCTTCCTCATTGCCCTCCCTTCCACCCTGGCCTGGCTGATTCCTGACAACACAGCTAGAAAGAGTCCGTGTCTTTAAATAACTTCATACTTTCCTCTTTTCTTGGAAGAGCGACTCTTCAAAGAAAGCCTGCAAGCTGCAAACCAGGTGCATTCCCGCTAGGCTGCCACCATCAGAGCAGGAGCTCGCTGGCCCAGCCAGACCTCCAGGCCACCCGCCAGGAAGTCCCACTGCTCCGCATGCAGGAAGACTGGGGGGTCCTGTGATGTGGCCCCAGCAGTGCCAGCCGGGGTGGGGACGGGAGAGGTGCCACTCACCTGGAAGAGCCCGTGGTGGTGAACCACCCCATCCTGCGTGTGGAGGAGGGAGAGCAGGGAGTACTCGGTGTGCAACAGCATCTTGCCTTGCCTCTCCTCTTGGCTTTCTATTCCTTGGTCGCCCCTCTCCTCAAGTGTAAGGATCTTTAGGAAGGCAAACACACAAAAACAAAACCCCACAACCCTTACTTTTCCAAGCAGAGTGACTAGAACAGGAAGAGCAGGGTTTCACATCCTCCCACGCAACCCTGGCACACGCACACCCACACGTGCGTGGACGAAGTGAAACGGTCTTTCCCAATGTGACAGCAAAATGATATAAGCACAGACAGAGCTCCCCGGAAAGAAGTGCACTGCTCTTGTTCACAAGTGGTGCAGAAGAAGGTGGGAGGAGGGAGAAGCCGGGCTGGTAGGATGTCCCGGGGGTCCCCAGCCCCTCACGCCTGGTGCCTCACTTACCTTCAGCTGATAGAAGTCATCCGTGCCATCTTTCCTCGCCAAACACTGCACGATGCTTGGCACTGGTGAGTTGCCCAGACGGGGACCTATGGCACAGACAGCCGCTGGCTTACTTCTCAGTAGCCTGGTCTACCATGGCACCGTGGGGCACTGTGCCACTACGTGGGCTTTTGGCTGGATCTTCTCTCCTGGAGGGCACCACGTTCACATCCACTGAACTCATGGTCTCCCCTCCAAAACTGGAGCAGTATGTGTGCATCTGCCTGAGTACACCTGGCTTTTACAGGCACATTTCTCAAGAGGGGCTCTCAACACGGGGTGCATGCTGGAATCTCCGAGGAGTATGTGTTACAGCAGAGATACCAGCTGCAACCTGGGCCCTCTGAATCAGCAGCTCCAGGGTGAGGAACCTGGAAACTGTCCCTTTAACAGGTTCCCCTGGCGGTCTGATACGGCCACGTATCAGCTTTGGGGAACTTCTGTAATTTTAGAGATGTACACGGCTTGATGTCCTGTGACAGACAGCACCCTGAGCTTTCAGAGCACAAATCAGGTAATGTCACAGTGTCAATGCACTGCTAAAAAACCTTAACAGCACTCCACTGCTTTTAATATGCAATCAAAATTCCTTCTTTTGGCCTCCAAGGTCTTGCATGATTTGGTTCCTGTCCAGCTTTCAACTGATCACGTTTCCCCACCCCTCCTCACCATACTCCAGCTATGCTGGACTCTTCATTCCTGAGATGTTAAGCCCTTCCCTGCTTCTGGGCCTTTGCACCTGCTGTTCCTTCTGTCTGGAATGCTTTTCCCCTGCTTTTCACATGGCCGCTCCTTCTTATCCTTGGCTGTCAGAGCAACTGTCACTTCCTCATACAGAACCTTCCTTGTCTACACTCTCTCTAGACCCTTCTTCCTCTCACACCATCTTGTTTACTTCCTTCAAGGCCCTTACCCCTCCCCCCCACCCCCATGATGATCTCGTGTGTTGTTTACTCTCGGTTTCTTTTTCTAACTAGAATGTTAAGTTCCGTGAGGGCAGGAACTTGTCTTTTTTTTTTTTTTTTTAACCTTAATAGTCTTTATTTTTAGCTTTAGAGTGTGTCTCTCTGTGTCTCCAACCAACTGTCCTGCCCAATGCCCAGTTCTTTTTTTTGGCCGCACCCTGCAGCATGCAGGATTTTAGTTCCCCGACCAGGGATCAAACCCGCGCCCGCTGAAGTGGAAGTGTGCAGCCCCAACCACCGGACCACCAGGAAACTCCCCAGGAACTTGTCTGTCTTAATCACTGCTGCGTCCCTGACAAATAGCACAGGCCCAGCAGGTAGCAGGCTCCGTGAACTGTTTGCTGAGTGACTGGAACTGGAACTATCCTGCACTCATAAGTCCAAGATGCTGTCCCAAAGCAAAAGTCAGCAAAACTGGAAAGTAGGAGAGATGGCCCAGTCTCTGGCTGCTAGGAGAGTTGGGGTCCTCAGAGCCCAAATCACCTGCAACCCTACACACACGCAGTCTAGACTTGCTGGGCTTCGAACTTCGTGCAGAAAGGCCCCGCTGCTCCTCCAGACCACTGGGAACACCCAGTTCTACAGGATTTCGGGGCCAAATCTGTAAGAAGTTTGCAGCTGTACCAAACACTCTGTGAACTTAGTTGTGCCCTCCAAGAACGGTCAAAGAAGTGCCTTGGATGATGTACCTTGGGTTCTAAGGCAGCTTGTCTGCTTCCCGTGGGTGATGTCCTGGGGGCACACATAGGATTCTCTGGGGGGAGAGGCAGTCTCTCAGCTGACACTAATCTAAGGCTGGTGTGGCTACAACAGAAACAACAACTCTTGGTGCAGAGCGACCTTCCCCTCTCATCAACAGACTCCATTTAAAGTGGCTGAGGGCTGGTCAGGCTCCCACGCTGGGGTGTTCGAGGCGCTGCACCCTGCACGTCTGCAGGTCACACTGTGCTGCCCCGGCACCCCACTCACCCGGCCGTCAGAGGCTTACCCAGGATGAATGGTCCAGCTCTCTTTGCATTATTTCCAGAAATCCCACTTCCTAGAGCCTTCGCCCTGGCCGACGTTTCCCCAGCTCCTCTGTCTGATGCTCTCCGCTTCATTCTCAGCTCTAGACGAGACAGAAAAGAGCCTTCTCACTGAGCAAGTCAGCGAGTTTCCTTACGCTAACCCAGCCTGCGAGTCTGACTTGAGGACGCATCACACAGCTGCCGCTGCCACCTCCGCCCCCTCCCAGAGGAGCGTGGAAGGTTCTCGATAACAAAGGACCACGGCTCCTTTACTGGGGATTAATTAGGGGCTCAAGCTGGATGCACTGGCTACAGAGGTGGGCAGCTGGCCCACCTCAAAGGGGCCAGTCAAATGCAGACAGAAGGACACAGAGTTTTATGCAGGTGCCAACTGGGGTCCCCTGAGACAGACAGCTGGCCCTGGAGCGACTGTCCCCAAAGTGAGGCCTTCTCCCCAAATATCCCTTTCCCCTAAAAGAAAAGGGGACACAGGAGCCAGATTCTAGAAGACGTTAACCTCTAGACCTGGATTTAAACAAAACAAAAAGGAGTTGCTCCTTTCAGCTCTCTACAGTTCACACCTCAGGAAGGCAGTGTGCTGGAGGTGGGGGCGAGGAAAGACACGTACACAGAGGAGCTCCACACACGGAGGGCAGAGGGTCATAGGGATGCCCGGGGAAGGCCAGCTGCCCAATCCCAAGGCCTCTGGCCCAGAGTGGGTGCAGGGGCTCAGGGAAAACTTCCCTGAGGAGGTGATACTGGAGTGGGCCAGGCAACAGGCAAGGTCATTCCAGGCAGAGGGGCCTGGGTGAGCAAATGTACATAGTAAGACACGGCACGTAGGCAACAAACTCCAAGTAGTCTGTGTCACTGGAGTGTACAGGGAGTGGTGATAGGTGACCCACAGAGGGGAGCAAAGGCCAGATCTAGGGGACCTGATGCCCACGTTAGGAGTGTAGACTTTACCCTTGCACAGGGGGCTAGGGAACACTGAACCCTAAGCTTCTATAAATTTTTCTTTTTATAAAAGTAATTGGCATTTCCTGCAGAAACATTAGAAAATACAGACATGCAAAAATAAGCAAATAAGGTACCCATAATCTTAATATTCAAGCGGACTTTCCTGTGTGTCTGTTTGTGTGTGCGTGCGTGTGTGTGTGTATGCTTAGTTCTCGTTGTTACAAAAATTCAGACCACGCTATGATACCATTTCCAAGCCTCCTTTCCTCCCACCTAAAATATATTACGAGGGTGAATTTTATGGTATGTGAAACATATCTCAATAAAGCCATAAAAAAACAAAACAAAACATTATTAACGTCCTTGCACGACAATATTCTTTTGTAGCGTCACTTGAAATAGCTACAGTCTCCTTGGTAAGAATATAGCATGATTTATCAGACCACACCCCTATTCATGGACATCGAGATTCTTCCCACTTTTTATATTTTTTATTAGCAGTTATGCACACACATCTTGGCATACTTGCCTCTCTCCCTCAGGATAAACTCCAAGAAATGGAACTACAGGGTCAAATGGGGCACACATTTTTAAAGGTGTGTGACATACACTGCCAGGTTGCTCTCAGGAAGGCTGTGCCAATTTATATATTGATACCATCAGCAGTGTGGGAGAGTAAGTCCCAGAACCTGCACCAGGAATGAGTATTTTTAAAAGCTGCCGATTTGATGAGTAATAAAAAGCATATCATTGTTTAATTTCATAATTCCTTAATTATTCATGAAGTTGGACTTGTTTTACATGCTTACTAGCTGTATGTATTATTTCTTTTATGAATTTCCAGTCCACATTCTTCTTCTATTTTTTTTTACTGCTTTGTGTGTATTAGTCTTGGTGGTTTCTTAGGAGCTCTTTATATATTAAGGCTATAGCTGACATAGGATATAGTTTTTCTTAATCTTTTAACTTTTTTTAATTAAAAAAGACTAAATGTCTATGTGGTCAAATAGTCTTCTTTTCCTTTAGTTTGTTTTTGCTCTTATGCCTAGAAGGTGCCCCTACTCTGATAACAGGTACGTATTCACTAGTTAGCTTATAACTTCATATGCTGCCATTCTGGCCCTTATTCTAAACCCCAGGAGACTGACTCCATGCAGTGAACTGGAAAGTAGGAGATATGGCCTGATGCCCTTCTAGTCCAATCTACCAGGTTTGACTCCCATCAAGCCCTAATTTGTCTTCAGAGCTGTGCCACCGAGGAGCAGACCCATGATTTCATCCTGAGAGTAACTAGGATCAGGTAACTCAGTAGGCCCTGACAGTCCCCAGACAGAGCAGAAGCCATGGTTAGGCTCAGCTCTGACTTCTGCCAAAGAGGCTCATGCTGGAGGTAGATCCAGTCATTCACACAAAAGCAGGGAAGAACACAACTGTTTCTAGAAAAATCCTAAAAAGCTCAGCAGTAATGTGTCTAGAACAGTGTTTCCACTCTTTGCCTGGCTAACTTCTACGCATCCTTCTCAATGTGAATGTCACTTCCTCAGAGAAGCCTTCTTGACATTCCCACCACCAACGGGTCATAGTCTCACTCGGTATCCTGTAATTTTCATTCATAGCACTTTCCATATTTTGTGATTATGTATTTATTTGTGTGCTCATATGCTTAATGTCCTTTCCCCACTACTAGACTAAAAATCCCTCAGAACTAGAAAAAAGGGAAAAAAATTACATAAAACCATTACCCCCAGTGCCTGGCCCAGCAGATACTCTCTGAATGGCTGGACGCCTTCCCTCCAGTTGCTGATGGTTCCTATTGGGTCAGCAGCCCTGTGCTGCAGCCGCCCTGCCCTGGTAGATGGGTTGAGTTCATTACCATTCTGGCGCTGTTCTCTGCCTTCCCTGGAGTGCTAAGACTCCTCTCTCTTCCCGGTTCCTAGGAGAGCACCACGTGGTGTCACCGTACCTGTGTAGACACTGCCTAGGTGCCCACGCACAGGCATGGTCTAGACAGCAGTTTGCCGGGAGCAGCTGCAGCACAGACAGTGAGTGGGCTCAGCCTGACCCCACCCACCCCACTAAGGATTCAACTCAAGCAAATGGCATGGGAGCTGCTCCAAAATGTAGGCAGACAGAAGGATGAGAGCAGATGGGCAGGGAGAGGGAAAAGACGCTGGCAGGCGAAGTGGCAGCAAGGCTGTTTCCCTTCCTGAACATCCCTTCACGCCGCCAGAGCTGGTGAAGGCGATGCAAGCAGTGTGAGGAGGCAGGTCTGGGCAACTGGAAGCTGCTGCGGGCTCGCGGGTGGGATGAGCAAAGACAAGCCCCTCCTGTCCCCCCAAATCATCCTGATGTGTCCCCCTCCAGAGACACACCTTCAAATGGCCCACAGATGCTCCCACAGGGAGGCCGCTCTGAGGGATCCTGGCTTCCCAGTGAGATCTGTGATGTGGAAGCTCTGGCTACCCTGGTTTCAGAAGGGCTTGGGGCCAGGCCCCTCCAGAGATGCTGGTCCTCAGGCTGGGGTGAAGGGCCCTGGCCCAGCCTGGCTAAGGGGGAGCCATCTGCCTAGTGTCTCCTGGGCCCACAGCTCAGCTTGCCAGGAACTCAGCAGGCCTGGTTTAGAAGTCTCTGGAACTTTAAATCTGTCTACTATTCCACGTGCTGTCCTCCCAGGTCAACGCCAGTTTCTTTAGAACCTGGATTCAACAGGAAGCTCAGTGAGGCAACAGTGGGTGTGAGGGGTGAGGGCAGGAGGGAGGCATCCCCGCCTGCAGGCTGCGCTCCTCCACCCCGAAAGCGGGAGACTCCCTTTGCTTGGCCCAACCTGGGGAGCAAGTTGTGGGCCTCTGCTCTGTGTCTGCCATCACAGCATGCCCAGAGGAGGGGATGCCGGCCCTACCCTGTCAGTTTGCTGTTAAGGTCATCCTGCCCAAAGCGGCTGGGCGATGTGAGCCCAGCTCTCCCAGAAGGAAACGAAGGCTGGGCCATCAGCACCACATAAGGCTCGAAGGCCCATCGTGCCCAGTCCAGTGCTGTAGTGTGACAGGGTACAGGACAGTTGGGCAGGGCAGAGCCAGGCAGGGCACCCTATAGCAGGGCATGGTTCAATACGGTAGACATACCACCAACCCCCAAAGGAGGCGGGCTGCAAAGAGAGAGCGTACTGAGGTGTTCCCGGCTCAGTCTGAAAGCCTGGCTGTAGCCTGACTGAAGGCTGTCTGAAGCCTGGTCAAGGCAAGGAGGGGCCCACTACTCGCACCCAGAAGCATGCCCACAGGCCTCCAAGCAGGAGGAGACGCGCGGGCCCAGGCGGCGGATACTCACAAGCGCAGAGCCAGCGTAAGCCCCCAGCCCCCAAACACGAGGGGCAGCATGGGGCCTGCACACGCGCGCAGAGAGTTCTGCACTCACTCTCGCTGCAGGCCTCTTGCTGCAACCTCGGGGTTCCTGGAGAGATGGGTGACCTTGCAAACCGAACAAGTGCAGGCAGGGTGCAAGGGCGGTGCCCGCAAGGAGCAAGCAGCAGACCCTGGCCTGGTGTGCTACTTTTGTGTATGTGTGTGATGACACCACAGCTGGTAGCCACGATTTGTCAGCAGCTTCTAATGGCTGCTAGGAGCCTAAGGACTTGTCTACACTGCAGGGTCAGGCTGAGCCGATGGTGTCAGGATTCAAGCTGTCCCTGTCAGCAGTCCCTATCCCCACCCCCATGTTTCCTGGCTCTGTGAAAACAAAACAAGTAAAAAGGTCCTGAGCTGTGTAGGCCTCCGTCTTCTGGACTTTATCTCTGGTAGTGCCTACCGAAGGCAGGGACCTCGCCCCTCCGTCCAGCCCACCCGGCACGTGGAAATGAGCACAGATGCTCCCACCCATCCCTGGCCTCAGTCCTATCGGCCACGCATGAGTTAAGGGTCTGTGTGGCCAGACCCGCACTAGGCCCCAGGAGGGAGGTAGAAAGGTGTCTCTGTCCACAGGACACTCAGGCAGCAGAACAATGCGGTCAGAGCAATGCATCTCGGTCTTTCCCATGCCACAGTACAGACAGAAACATCTGTACAGCACTTGGGGGTGAAAGGCCTGGGGACACCAGCTGTCCTCTGCTTAGCCCAGTCACTCCTGGGCTAAAGGGATCACCATCTTG